CACGTTATTGAATAAGCGAGGTTTTCTAGAAAAATAATTCAACTGCTCGGGTAATTTCAGTGGTAGGCTAAGGCGGTGACCGTGATTTCACCAAGTACAACATGTTCCTGGATCAACATCCTTGTTGATCCTGAAACATCATTCCAATCAACCAATCAGAATTGAGGGATAACTTTTCAGGAAATATCAGTTTTAGGCTTACAATCAGGATTAGGAGCTTCTACACCCTTGTTAATCAGCTATCATTTCCCTCTGATTTTAGGAATAAATTATGGGTAAGGTTAGGTTTAGGGGTAGGGATTGGGTTTAGTCTATATTTTTGGATAGTAATGTTGATCCAGGACCAACAAAAGATGTTGATCCCGGAACATGTCTTACTTGGCAAAATCAAGCCGACCAGGCTAAGGCACATATTAATGTAGATCCGTATTAAACTCCCGTAATTCGCACACTGATAGCGCGCAAATATTTCTGTCCGTTTTCGTTCGTTGAAATAGTACGCCGAATAAAAACGAAAACTCGTGGTATTGAGACGCAAAAATGGACTTTGGCGTGCATATGATACGCAGTTTTCGCGTACATATGATGCGCATCTACCCCACAACCCTAAACCTACCTATCGCGTAGCATATACACGCCAAAGTCCATTTTTGCGTATCAATACCACGAGTTTTCATTTTTATTTGGCGTACTATTTATACGCACTTTCATGAGATCGGGTTGGCTTTTTCGCAACAGACTGAAGCCTCCGCGTGAATTTGTTTTCAGCTAATAAAAAGAAAAATGATGCGATTTCTGGTGTTATTTTATGATTGTTGGGGCAGTCTTCAGCTCTTATTAAAACATCTCAAAATACAAACCGCTTCAGATTGCTTTTAATCACTGCATAAAAAGATTAACGCAATCTTTAATTATTGTTCTGATTGGGTGGGCAAGACGACATTTGCCCATGCCTGGAGCCGGCCCCGTTGTAAAATGTAATTTATTTCTGTGATCTAAAGCTGACTTTTAAGCATCAGCATGTGTAGTGTCACATGATCCTTCAGAAATCATTCTAATATGCTGATTTGTTGCTTAAGAAATAGATATCTTTTGTAACATATTAATGTATTTACGGTCATATTTTTGATCAATTTAATGCATCCTTGCTGAATAAAAGTAATCTTTTTTTTTTCTTTTTTTTTTGCTGACCTCAAACTTTTGAAAAGTAGTGTATCCATCCATTTCTTCATGTTGAAAGGAATGATCTGGATTTAATATAAGGTATCAACTTCATTTCAGGCTTAATGTAGATTACCACATAAGTCATTTAACACTGTTAAAACTAGGAAAATGTTTGCAGAAATTCAACAATTAAAGTCTAGGCAAAACCTTGGATGTAAAAACTTTGGATTAATTTTTCTCCAGTAAAAAGTACTTGTATCACATGTCCATCTTTTCCAAGCTATGAAAGGAGATGAGAGATTGTCCAGACAAGGTTAATAAGTGATGCTATCACACCTGTCATGATGTTGTCATGAAGTCTTGTGGCTGTACTTTAGAAACAGTAATTTATGTTTATCTCAGTATAATAAAATATGTTTATCCCAGTATAATATTATGCCCCATAGACTTCTGTGTAACTGTAAACAGTCCAGTCTGGATGATGCTTGTCTGTGGTAATCAGCAGTGTGCAGCATGACGTTTTTTTTTTTTATTAAATCCAGAACTTTCCTTAAAATCTTGATACATTTGGCCTTCATTTAAGGTCATTCTTTTACCTTCATTTACTACTGTCAGATTCACACCATAAATACTGTCAGTGAAGCGCTATACAACGTGTTGCTATTTGAGTGATCAATGAATTTTCGCTGGTTGGTTATTACTGTAATTAATATATTTAAATATTAATATAATAATATGTATAGCTACATTTGTTCAATTTTTGCCAAACCCTAGTATATGTATTATGAATGTAGTCTGTACATTAAAAAAAATGCACAATATAAATGCAACATGAATTAATGAGACTTCTGTGATTTAAACCAGCTAATCACACTGAATCTTTAACAAAGAAAATGACTGAATATTGAACATATTTGTTCAAATTATACAGTGTTTTTTCTTCAGGATTAAATATCAAATGTTAATTAGGATTAGGTCATAATCATTGATTACTGAAATTTGTTTTGGGATCCTCACAAACACTCTGTGTTTACATAAAAATTACTGCTATGTATATTTCAGTTATTCAAACAGGGGTCAGTCAGACGCGTCGAGCAAAAGCAAACCGATGAAAGAGCCAAGAAAAATAGTTCAACATCTCATCCAAGGCTAAGACCCTGATCTGAGTTAATACTATAAACATTTCAGCCCTCTGTACTTGAATATCCCAAACATTCAGCAAAAAAATGACACAGCAAAGCGCAGTATATCAAATGCAAATTTATTAAACATTTGTTTCTTTTACTTTCATTGACATCCTTATCAATATCGTAATAAAAATCCTCTAAAACAGGAGCACACACCTATGTTGTACCAACTGGAGACTTTTACAGCTCTAAAATTCTGCATGTTCAGCTTTAGAACATTATGCTGGGAAAAAAAATATATTTATTTATATATATATTTATTTTCATATACTGTATTACATCTACATTTCATCTATAATAAAAGGCACTTGGAAAAAATTAAAATACTGATATTAAAATATCTCAAAATTGTGCAAAAAAAGGACAAAATAAAAATGGATACTGGCCTTTCCAGGCCATAGTCTTTTTGTTAACCCTTTGTGCATCTCTGTGGCACTTCAAGAATGTGTCCTATTATTAGTTCATTTTAGAAACATCTTTACTTTTAATGTGAGCTTTTTTCTTTAGATTTTAAAATGGTGCTTAATTTATGTACCGTATCTAGTTTCTTGCATCATTGGAGTGAATTTCTACATTTAAATATCTAGCTATGACATCTTCCCTGCCATTCAGTTTATTGCTTAAGTCTCTCACATACAGTTGCAGTAAATTCAGAGTCATTGAGGATGTACCATCGGTCTGTTAAGGCCTTTGGGGTCAACTGTGTAAAACAGTGTGGCCGTTTTCAGAGTGCTCAAAGGGTTAAAGGTTCAAACAGCTTATCTGATATTGAACATTGATGTAGACCTTGACAGGTCTGTGTCAGTATCATCTTTCTCCAGCCAACAACATGAGAAAAGGGAGTAGGAGAAGGTGGGCAAAGATATTTCCAACTTGTTTAAAGGATGCAAGGGTTAATAAACGTCATTACCGGTAAAGCCTCCTAAATACATGCTGATGTCAAAGCTCTCCAAACCTGAGAGGATTGTGTTTGATTACTGCATGTATTTGCATGTTATCGCTTATCTCTTCTAAAAGGCTTTATAGAAGCACAGGGTTAACCTTTTCTTGGCTGCAACCGAATAAATAAAAATAATCTGGGGCCGTGTAAGGGTCAGTGGCCTACTTTTGAAACTTGGCGCACGATCAAGATGTGGACATGTTGATTGGTTGAATGTCCATTATACAGGACATTAAACATTACATATACATTATAGAGTATGTAAACTTAAAACATCATGATATGATTATGGGCTAAATGTGAGGGCTTCTTACTCAAGCCCTTCCCACAAACTTATCTGTCACCTTCTCCCGTCATTTCTCCCTATTTCATCAGCTGGAGAAAGCTGAACACAGAATAGCGATAACAGAAATGAAGCAACTTCAACATCAGGAAATGTCACGTCCAAAACAAAACAAGTCAGTAAAACAAAACAGCATTAATTGTATAGTTTCCACAAGCAATACAACAAAAATAATTATGGAATAAGACTCTGAGTGTAAAAATGGTTTGGAGGGGAGGGCAGGGTGCATGCTTTAAGGAAGTGTGATTATTTCAGTTGGAATGTTTATACATTACATTCGTTTGTTCTATAATTTTTTTTCTCCCAGTTTATGAGTAATGGACATTACTGAAAGATGCTATAAATATGTCATCTCTGTTAAAGAAGTACTTCTCCTGAGAAGACAGAAGCTGTTATGTGCCTGAGTTCAGGAGAGAAGACTTAATCAAGAGCATTATTTTAATCTGAATGAGGTCTTGATTGTGACAGGTTGATCATCAATGGAGGATGACAAACACTCTGTATAGTCTCACATGACCCACTTCAGGATTTAAATGCATCTTTCAACACAAGAATTATACACCGCTTTGACGTTGGAGATGGCATCATAAAATGCACAATATGAATATCTGCCTTAAAGGTTGTGTTGTACAACTTGATGTGCCTAAAATCTAGCACAGAATCTTTTGAATTTTGATTTTCAGTTTGTATGATGTACCACATAATTACACATCATGCAACTGGGAAAAATCAGAGCCAAATGGGGTCAAATGTGAAATTTTTAGTACTTGGAGCGTCGCCTACAACTCCATTTGTGTAAGGTGGCGTCAGGAGTAATGCTGAAACTTGACACCTCACTCTAGAGTTTGATGCATTGGGGAACGTTGATGTGGGTCATGTGAAAGGGTCTTAAATCAAAATGCTATCTTTTGGCCACCTGAATAGTGCTTTCTACACTTTATTATTAAGTCCCTACTTTAATCTCTGGGTTTACGATTAGATTTTTAGCACAGTGATTTAACATGGGGCAAACTGTGAAAGCAAAGTTATTTTAAGCGAACTAGGCCCTTAATCGTTGAAGTACACTTAAACTGGTGTATTGCAAGTGTCAGCATTGCCACTGGGTTGTGGATAACGGTTATTTTTAACATTCCACTATTATGCATCAGCCAAAGGTCCTTTGTTTTACCCTGCCGTGCTAGTATACGGCAAAGCAGGACAATAACTTTTAAATCTGGCCCTTGGTTCAGCTAGTAGTGTGCAGTACAAGTGATGACCATAAGATGGCACTATTTACAACAGTGCCATGTCCTATGGGGCATTAGCATGACCGCTTGGTGAGTTTGTGCCCTTGTATGACTTAAAACTCAGTAATCAAAATGCTATCTTTTGGCCACCTGAATAGTGCTTTCTACACTTTATTATTAAGTCCCTACTTTAATCTCTGGGTTTACGATTAGATTTTTAGCGCAGTGATTTAACATGGGGCAAACTGTGAAAGTTATTTTAAGCGAACTAGGCCCTTAATCGTTGAAGTACACTTAAACTGGTGTATTGCAAGTGTCAGCATTGCCACTGGGTTGTGGATAACGGTTATTTTTAACATTCCACTATTATGCATCAGCCAAAGGTCCTTTGTTTTACCCTGCCGTGCTAGTATACGGCAAAGCAGGACAATAACTTTTAAATCTGGCCCTTGGTTCAGCTAGTAGTGTGCAGTACAAGTGATGACCATAAGATGGCACTATTTACAACAGTGCCATGTCCTATGGGGCATTAGCATGACCGCTTGGTGAGTTTGTGCCCTTGTATGACTTAAAACTCAGTCAGTCTGAGCCTTGTGTCTGTAAATCTCTTATTCAACAAAATAGAGCTAGTCAAGGTTTCTATTTCCTCCTCCTCAGAGGACAGATTGTCGTTCATACTTTGTCTATTTTTATTCAAAGACGTATGCTTACATTGCAGTGACACAGCTAGCAGCAAATGCAAGGTTTTTCATATAGCTTGCAATAGCATTGAGCTAAGGAAGTTCACTTGCAAGGGATGCAGAGGGTACCCGCTGACCGAGGTGGGACTCGGGACAGTCTGAAGCAGTGGTGTCCATTCCTGCTCCTAAAGGGCCACCGTCCGGGAAAGTTTAGCTCTAGCCCTAAGTAAACACACCTGTACCAGCTACTCAAGGTCTTCAGGATCACTAGAAACTTGTGTGTAGGAGCTGAGCTCTGCAGAAAAGTGGCATATCAGGGCCAGAACTGGACACTACTGGTCTAAAGGGTACAACAGATGTTGATTGACGGCAAGTAAACGAGCTGCAAACCTGACCAAGCCCATGCGATTTAGCCTAAAAGATCTCTAGCTCGCTACGCTCGGAGGTCTTTTCATAACGCACGGAATGGCTTGAAGGTCAGTTCCTGAAGAATAATAGCATACATTTGTGTCTTTAGTGTGTTGCGTACACTGTCGTCCAAAAGTTTCTCTTACGCATAAATACATTTGTCTCTTGAAGCAAGGGCACAGATTCTGAAGTCTGCCGTTTAGATCAGTGCTCTCATAAAACAGAAAACAAAGCGTATAAGACTTAGGTTCCAATCCTGCTTCTGGAGGGCCACCTTTCTTCAGAGTTTAGACCAGGGAAGGGCAACCCTGGCCCTCAAGGTCCACTGTCCTGCAGAGTTTACATCCAACAAGCTCACCTGGCTGTAATTCATCTAGTAATCTTATAGACTTTGATTAGTTTAGTTTGTGTTTAGTGAGGGTTGTAACTAAACTGCAGGAAAGTGCAGGGATTTGCCCACCACTACTTTAGCCCCAACCCTAATTAAACACAATTAATCAAGCTCTTTCAGGATTACTCAAAACTTTCAAGCAGGTGTATAGGAGCAAGTTGGAGCTAAACTCTCCAGGAGCAAGATTGGATAACCCTGGTAATAAGATAAGCCAGAAAGAAAGAGAATGGAATGGAGGTGAGTGTTTGGCCACTTTCTAGATTGTTACGATAATTTCACTTCAAGATACCATCCCTATTACCACAAGAAACAGGTAGCTGTGTCTGACCATAAGGTACAAATTAGAACTGAAGTAGCGCTAAAAGTTGAAGATGGTGTCACCTCCAAGCAGAACCGCATTTGCTTTGAGAAAACCCCCCATAGGCTTGCCTCTGACCTCTGACCCCTGTTCCACCCCCACGCTTCCCCTGCCGTTCCTCTGGAATGTGGCGCTCAGTTGACCACAGCTGGCTTCAGCACCACCGGGCCAGAAGGGATGACAACCCAAGACAGGGGGTCGTGGGATGCCCCCGTAGACAAGTTGAGCACTCTGCCGTGGATCTCGTCCTCACCTCTGGCCTTGCCCTTGCCATGGTCCCTGCGCTCCGAGCCCAAAATAGGCACCATGGGCAACCCCAATGTGGAAGATGAGAAGGTATGAGACAGCAAGGTTGACTTGGCCAGGCCAAGCGGGGAACCACTGAAGGACAGGATGGAGGTCTTCCCAAGCCCAGCTGGAGGGGAGCTTGGGCAGCCCAGTGTGCTCAAGTCCAAGGGGTGGGGACTGAGGGGGGAGAAGGGGAGGGAGCCTCCAAGACCCTGCAGACCGTGACCGCCCAGGAGAGCAGCGGCAGCACCAGGAATGATGATGTGGGCCCCACTGACGTAAGTCAGCTCAGATTCTTTCCCTGACCCTGCAATCTGCCCCGGCTTCATCAGAGAGCCCACCCCACCCGGACCTCCCTGATCCTGGACGACAAAGTGCCCGTGAGCCTTAATATGCTTCCTCAGGGAGCTGGGGTCTGTGTAGCGTTTCAAGCAGCCCACCATCTTGCAGTAGTAGGGCTTGTCCACATAGTGCGTACGCGTGTGTTTGAACCGGTCACTGGAATTGGAGTACCGCTTGTTGCAGCCCTCGTAGGGACAGATGTATGGCTTCTCTCCTAAAATACAACCACCAAGTTAGCCAGGTCATGCAATCTTCACTTATCTATCCATACATTTAACTTGGTACAGACCTGTGTGCGAGCGGTTGTGAATCTTGAGGTTCTCCAGGCGGGAAAAGCTCTTGTTGCAGGTGGGACAGCGGTGAGGTTTCTCATTGGTGTGAGTACGGATGTGTATCAGCATCTTGTACCTAATGATGCAGACATTAGAATTAAGGTGCATGCTTTAGAATTAAAGGGTTGGTTCACCCAAAAATGAAAATTCTGTCATTAATTACACACCCTCATGTCGTTCCAAACCCGTAAGACCTTTGTTCATCTTCAGAACACAAATTAAGATTTTTTGATGAAATCCAAAAGCTTTCTGACCCTGCATAGATGGCAACGGAACTACCACGTTAAAGGCCCAGAAAGGTAGTAAGATCATATAGATAATATAGTTCACGTGACATCAGTGGTTCAACTGTAATTTTATGAAGCTATGAGAATACATTTTGTGGGCAAAGTAAACAAAAATAAAGACTTTATTCAACAATTCTTCTCTTCCGTGTTAGTCTCCGCCGCGCATTCACAAGAATACCATGACGCATACTGTACGTGTGGTGCTGCTGATGCAGGAGCCGGCATTCTGATATAGAACCCGGATACACTGTGCCTTGTTTGCAAGCAAAGGAATGCACACGTCGAAGTCTGACACGGAAGAGAAGAAATTGTTGAATAAAGTTATTTTTGTTTTCTTTGCTCACAAAAAGTATTCTCGTAGCTTCGTAAAATTAAGGTTGAACCACTGATGTCACATGGACTATTTTAACAATGTCCTTACTACCTTTCTGGGCCTTGAACGTGGTAGTTGCATTGCTGTCTATGAAGGGTCAGAAAATAACAAAACAAATCTTAATTTGTGTTCCGAAGTTGAATGAAGGTCTTACAGGTTTGGAACGACATGCAATTAATGACACAATTTAAAATTTTGAGTGAACTATCCCTTTAAGGTACATGCTTATGTAACTTAACGGTGCGACTAGTAGATGAAACGGCAGAATTTTCCTTTCCAAGGAAATTAACCTAAAATGGCTTATACAGTATGGTGGGTATGTATTTTAAAATGAAAAATATTCAGTACTACAATATACCTTTAAAATTACCATGCACAATTTTGTGGACATTTCAGAATACCGTGAGATAATCTATTAGTCAAAATTGTTTACTTTTTATGAACACACCATAGCTTAATCTCTATCAACGAGTCAAAATTAACACAACACTCTCCTGTCCAGCTTTTAAATGTAGCTTTTTTTAAGATGGGTCAAAACTCTTTTTAAGTCTGTTACAATAAAACGTAGATTGGTCTAATTTGAATCCAAAAAATAAGACTCATTACCCCTTGGCTAACTGCTAATTGATTTAGTTCTTAAGACTGAGTCTTTACATAAAGGCTAAGTTTATGCAACTGACCCCTGCTGGTGCTAAATGTATCACAGACAACCTTATTTAGAGAATGCATTAAACACACCTGGCATTGAATCCCCGTCCTTTGCGTGCACATCCCTCCCAGAGGCAACAGTACCCAGATTCCTTCTCAGGCTTTACATGGAAGTCATTGACGTGATCCACCAGGTCTTGCAAGGAGTCAAAAAGTAGGTGGCACTGTGACAAGAAAACATGCACTATGAGCTAAGGTAAAAAATAAAAAAAAGCACATTAGCACCTGCATTAAACTGCTTCTATTTCTCACCTTCCTCCAGCGACAGGCCAGCTGTTCATCTGCGGAGAGGTCTGGAGAAGCTCGTGTGTCCTTGGGCTGCCGAATGAACATCGAGGAAGGCAGGTGAAGCCCTCCACCTCCTCCAATTGGCACGAAGAACTGGAACGCTTGAGACGTCACCCCTCCCTCCACGTAACGGATATGAGCCAAGTCCTGCGGGAACAAAACCAGAAAAGGCAAACATAATTCAAGCCTCTTTATCTTTTTACAGCAGGCCAGCGATTCTAGTAATAGTTGTTAAACTCAGTAACAGGAGCTACAGGAGGTCCGTGTTCTGTAATCGCCCTCTCAGCGGGAGACTCTTATGAGTGTTTTGCTGGATGTGGCAGCTCGTCCTCGCTGTGTTTCTGCCCCCAGCTGTGCTGATCTGAGCTAATGCCCTGCCACACTTTGCACTCCACCACAGATTTGAGACTTTAATGAGAGAAAGTGAAATGGCAAGGCACCAATAAGCGTAACATAATAAGAACATAGAATCTTATACATGGAGCTTGATTTTGCACAAGTGCCCTATTATGAGCACTCTGATAAAAGTGTTTTTAGATAGCAGGACTAGACAGTAAACTATAAACTACAGATTGTTTTGAAGGAAATGTGAGTAGGTGGGAATCAGCAGGAACCTGGTGCAACTGACCCCTGCTGGTGCTAAATGTATCACAGACAACCTTATTTAGAGAATGCATTAAACACACCTGGCATTGAATCCCCGTCCTTTGCGTGCACATCCCTCCCAGAGGCAACAGTACCCAGATTCCTTCTCAGGCTTTACATGGAAGTCATTGACGTGATCCACCAGGTCTTGCAAGGAGTCAAAAAGTAGGTGGCACTGTGACAAGAAAACATGCACTATGAGCTAAGGTAAAAAATAAAAAAAAGCACATTAGCACCTGCATTAAACTGCTTCTATTTCTCACCTTCCTCCAGCGACAGGCCAGCTGTTCATCTGCGGAGAGGTCTGGAGAAGCTCGTGTGTCCTTGGGCTGCCGAATGAACATCGAGGAAGGCAGGTGAAGCCCTCCACCTCCTCCAATTGGCACGAAGAACTGGAACGCTTGAGACGTCACCCCTCCCTCCACGTAACGGATATGAGCCAAGTCCTGCGGGAACAAAACCAGAAAAGGCAAACATAATTCAAGCCTCTTTATCTTTTTACAGCAGGCCAGCGATTCTAGTAATAGTTGTTAAACTCAGTAACAGGAGCTACAGGAGGTCCGTGTTCTGTAATCGCCCTCTCAGCGGGAGACTCTTATGAGTGTTTTGCTGGATGTGGCAGCTCGTCCTCGCTGTGTTTCTGCCCCCAGCTGTGCTGATCTGAGCTAATGCCCTGCCACACTTTGCACTCCACCACAGATTTGAGACTTTAATGAGAGAAAGTGAAATGGCAAGGCACCAATAAGCGTAACATAATAAGAACATAGAATCTTATACATGGAGCTTGATTTTGCACAAGTGCCCTATTATGAGCACTCTGATAAAAGTGTTTTTAGATAGCAGGACTAGACAGTAAACTATAAACTACAGATTGTTTTGAAGGAAATGTGAGTAGGTGGGAATCAGCAGGAACCTGGTGATGTTATGTTGATATTTGAGTCACGTTTTGATAATAGGCCTATATATATACATGTGTATATATATATATATATATATATATATATATATATATATATTCTTGTCATCTGAATATTTATAAAATGCCATTAAATAAGATACTGAGATATTTTAAAGTATATATATTTCTTTCTTTTACCCTCACTAGTTTTTTAGTGTTTATGGGTTTGTTCATGTTTCTGCCCCTAACTATGAGCAATAGTAATAGTGATGCTTAAGGGTTAATTAGAGGAGAGACAATGATGGTTTTGACTGGACAACAGTGTCAGGGCTGTCTGGGAAGTTTTCAGCTATGTGAGAAATGTGCTTAGAAAATCATGTAAAATGAGGCTCAGGAGTGCCAACATCTAAGACCTGGCTGCTGTTTATCCGTTGGCTTGAAGGAGGGGTGGCAGGCATCGGAGACACACACATAAGCACACAAAAAGCCATGCGTCTCGCTCCCAATTCAATTTTGAGCGAATTAAATTAAGCAGAAAGAGCTCTGTGTGGCTGTACCTCGCTGTAAATCTGATTTAACCTCGCGTCCCATCCGTCAGCCACACGGACGGCGAAAGAGAGACACTTTTGTGAAGGAGCACAGGGGGCATTTGATAAGAAACACCAGTTTTGGGTCACTGAGGGTAACAAATCTGAATGTCTCGTGTTGAGGGAAGGTGAGGAATGTTCCTGTGCATTTAATTCTTCATTTGGACAACTTTAAAGGCAATTTTCTCAATATTTAGATTTTTTTTTTTGCACCCTCAGATTCCAGATATTCAAATAGTTGTATCTCAGCCAAATATGATCCTATCCTAACAAAGCATACATCAATGGAAAGCTTATTTATTCAGCTTCCAGATTATGTATAAATCTCAATTTCAAAATATTGACCCTTATGACTGGTTTTGTGGTCCAGGGTCACATATGGTCATTTTATGCACATATGGTCATTTAAATGAACAATTTAATGACTTAGATAAGTCAAAAAAGACGTTTTAAGTCATTTTTACAGTGTAATCAGATGGTCTACACAGGCTACAACTCAAAATGTCAACATAACAGATCATTAAACTGAAAAAAGGCTGTTTTTGTTGGCATTTTAGTATATTTAAGCTTAGATCACTGTAAAGTATTTTAAAGTAATACTTCTTGGTGCCCATGTACATGTGCCGTTCCCTAGTGTTGTGGACTCACCCCGGGGAAAACGGGAGCTGAGCCGTTTCCATTGGAGAGATCCGGAGAGCAGGCGGTGTTTCTGGAGGACGGGGACATGCTGAGGTCCACAGCGGGCGGTGTGGGGGTCTCCAATTTATCCTGCAGGACACCTGTGGACATACACACCTCTGTTATATTCTCTGCAATTACAGTGTTGTATACGTCACGCTGTGCTGATTTGTTTACCTGTGTGTGGAGAGGCAGGAGACGCTGGAACGATGACTGCGGTCCCGTCGTCTGCCATCCGCAGCTGCCCCGCCCCCTTAGCGTGAATGGGAGAGGGAGTGAGAGTGGGCGGAGACCTGGCGACTCTGTCCCGCCCACTGACCCGCCCCCTCGGCACCTTCAGGTCCAGTGGCTCGTCTAAGGACAGCATGACGGCATGCAGTCCAGAGCCTGCAACCTACACAGAGAGCAGTTTAGGTGAGAACACTGAAACATTCACACAGATCCTGTAACAGCAGGACAGTGGCATAAGAGCAGTGAGCATTCATAACACCACCATGACTTTCATGCTGGAAACATTAATCCAGAAGTAGCTGCCTTAAATGGACCAGAACCGTTCCATAATTTGATGGTTGTCAATCAGATGGAGAGGTTGTGCTGTGGATTTCAGCATCTCTTTACTGACTGAGGCACATTTTTCAATGTAGTACGTTTCAGTGTATTTCACTATTGTTGATACAATATTATAATTGTATTACTATTTTGAATTAGCTCTAAATTTTATATTTTCAGTTTTCTTTTTAATTCTAGTTTAATTTTTAGTAATTTTGCTGTGCTCTTGCCATTTTTATTAGTTTTAGATAAAAAAAAACATTAATATTTATAAATGATGTATGTGCTATTATAGTTTTTATTAATATTTTTAATTAGCTTTTTATTTTTGCTTTTTCAGTTTTCATTTTAGCTATAGTAAAATTTTTAGCAATTTTGTGTGTTCATAGTTCATCAAGTTTTAGATTTTTTAAATATATCTATTTAGTTGGAACTTATTTTTGTTTCATTTTTAGTTTTCATCTGCCTTTTTTAATTTTAGTCATTCAATTTAAGCTTATTTTAGTTGCTAAGGCAACATTCCAAATTTTCATTTACTTTTAAAAAAATTTTTCATCTAATAACTCTGTTATGTCAGATAAGAGCATTGAAAATAATAAACGTTAGGGATGATCTGAGAAAAAAATTTATATCAGATTATTTAGAACAATATCTGCCAATTCTTATATTTTGGTGCTTCTGCTTTTTGTTAATAACTTATAGATCACTTATAATTAATTACACAGCTTTGGAAATAATGCTTTTTATAGACAAAATCAGCTCTGAACATGAGCTGTTTTTAAACAATTGTCTGATGTTAATGTCCTATTTTTATTACTATTTAAAAAATGGTATGTGAAACTACATATTACATACATATATTCAAATTTTGAATATATTGAACTTTATATTAATCAAATAACACTGTTTCCACAAAAATATGAGCACAACTGCTTCCAACATTGATACTAATCAGAAATGTTTCTCGAGCATCAAATCAGCATATTAGAATGATTTCTGAAGGATCATGTGACACTGAAGACTGGAGTAATGATGCTAAAAATTCAGCTTTACATCACAGGAATAAATTACATTTTACAATATATTCATATACAAAACAGTTAGCCTACTTTAAATTATAATAATATTTCACAATATTACTGTAAATATTACTTGTAAACTTTTCAAATCCATTAAAAAATGAGCATGTATGTGTTTATTATTAGTACGTTTGGAAACAAAGTTGTTTTTACGTGGTACAAAGTTAATTCAGTGAGCACTTTTGAGGTACTCTAGGTAGTTTACTCTGTTACATGGAAGCAATTCGCATACTCTGTCTGCATAGTATGCATACTATACAGTGCAGAAAGTAGTATGACAGAATGCAGCAGCATACAGAAACGCACACACAAGCGTTTAGATGCTGTTTAGATTTCACTTGGCAAGAAATTGTTTCCCCTTTTGCTCATTGTCTTTCTAAACACCTCACACACACACGGTCAGCCCGTCTGAAAAAACATCCCTGATCGATCTCACACAATTACTTCCACTAGCTTCCCCTCATTCCCCCGCACAAACTGTCCTCACAATAACAGCCATTACAGCTTCCACATTCCTGCCGACTGCATGCCAAATACAACGTTCACAGAGCTCCACCTCAAAGCACAGTTTCACATCTCTTTTTGTGCGACATGTAAGCGCGTACGCATGCTTCCCGCCGCACTGAATGGCTCTTTGAGAAGGGTTAGCTTGTGCCAACAGCTGGAAGGTCGGCGAGGTGAAGGCAGCGGGTCACCGAGTTCAACAGCCCAGCCAATAATCAGCAGATAACCGCACACAGAGCTGCATTATCAAGCAGTTCTGCGTCCTCGGCCCCCCACAATGTCTCAACCATGTCCTGAAATGATCTGCGTCCTCTCGGAAAGATCTCAAACGCTCCAATTTTTGTTCTTCGATGCCGTGCCAAAGAAGCAGACAGGCAGTTTTACAACAACTAGCGACGATTGGTCAGAAGAATACACAGGTTGCGTCACGGCAGGAGTTAATGTGCAACCCGTAGTATCTCCAGCCGTCTGGTGTGTAAGCGTCCCGTGTGGACTGAACCTGTGCTATCTCAGACCGGGGTGGGGTTAGAGACGTGATATGTGTGGTATGTTAATGATTTTCACATAATTCTGTCTCAATACGGCGGATAAAGACTCATTGCTTTGTAACTCAACTCTATTGTGTGGTCTGGGCATCCAGTCAGAACCTAAAAACAGCATTCACAGCCCATATTACTTCCATAATGCCACATATTTTTGAATGAATTTGGACATTTTACAAGAAAACATGCAGGGACTTGATTCGGTTTATTCCATCAGGTGGTTGAACAATAAGAGGCATTGGGACGTCAGTCAAAAAGGAAAATTGTTTCAGACTATGAAGGTTAACATTTATTTGTTTTGGAATAACACGCACTGATGAATTCTGAACAATAGGAACAGGAATGTTTTAAAGTACATAGGGTCAGTTTTAGGAATGCACAATACCATATGAATTGTTGTCCATTTTATTTTATTTTATCAGTACTGAAATTGAATATCGTCCAGTATTTAATACTGAACAGGGCATGCTCATTCCTGCCTATTAGTGTTATTTTAGTATCATTGATAACCTATTATACTTTTTGTTAATATTTTGAATTAGAGTTTATTTTGTCTTTTCATTTTTAGTTATTTTTTTTGTCATTTTTATTATTTCTTTATAGTGTTTATAAAGTTTTAGTTCATATCGTTTTAGTCATTTTAGCTACTGCAAAGTAAATGAAAAAGAGAAATGTTGTCTTTGCAACTTGCCGAAATAATAATTAAAAATCATTTTTAATATATATTTTATTTTATTTCAGTTAATGTTTTAGTTAAAAATAATCACCCTGCTGCCTATTATGTTAGACATCATCTAACAATCAAAGCGAATTAGATATAAAAACACTAGTCATTTAATAACACTTATTATAATTGATAATTTGAATATTGAAAATGAATATCTTTTACCTTTTATATTTTTAATTATAATATTGTGATATCTAAATTCTCTTGTGCCATTTTGTTTTAATGTTATTAATTAAAAGTATCATTTTATTTATTTTTTAAACACAAAATATTGGCATTTTAAAATTAGCCATTTGTTGGTTATTGGCCATAACACTCAATTAATTATCCATGTGAGCCAGAATTAAAATATCAGTGCATCTTCTAGTCCATTTTGGTTTTATATTACGTTTGTTTAAAAGCTGCCATAAGCATCAAGCTGTTAAAATAACTTTTCTGACGATTACAGTAATATGTAGTCCAGTGCTGTATGTTTCTTGTGATGGAGAAGAGGGAGCTCAGCCCTGCTCCTGGTTATCAGCCTTCCTGCTGTTCAGTTTACTGCCGGTAATTTTCCAGTGAACTCAAAGACCTTGATTAGCAGGTGTGTCTGATTAAAGTTGGACCTAAGCTCCGTCAGAAGGTAAGACCTCCAGAGAGTTTGGAAATCATATTTATAATGTGTGCTCAAGTCATTTTGGTCAGTCTGATATAAACACGTTTCTGATATTAACATTTCTTTCTTTCTCTTTCACTTCCAGATAAAGGATACATTTGGAGCGCAAGAGCAACAAAGTGAAGAACAAAGCATGTGCATTATGCATGCAATATCATGCATAATGCACATATAAAATGCTTATGTGCTGCCACAGTGAAGGATGGGAAATTGTGGTTGTGCAAACCTTTTGTGGCTAAATGAATGCGCACAAACTCAATTGTATACAGTTAAGAAGATTCACAATGAAATAGTATGATCAATACCAATTACAGTAGCTTCTGCATCAGTCCTGAGCTCCCACATGGTTCGGTCAGGAGAGCCAGAAGTTTCCATAACAAAAGAGCTCCTCGCGCTGGTTACAGCTCCATGTGTAAACCATTACTAGTCCATGCCTAAGGCCAGCTGCAATAAATCATCTCTTCCTTATTTTAATTAGCCCCCCAAACGGTCCATGTCTGACCCCCCTCACATTTCCGAGAGACTGTTCGGGAACGGTTCGATCCAGCTGGTTTGAGGAGAAGATTCGTGTTCGTTTTTGTGCTGAAAGGTACTGATTGATAAATGGCTCTGAGGTATGAGGCAGGTCAAGGTTGTGTGTTTTTGACAGGATACAGATTTACAGTGCAAGACAATTACATGCCTGGATCAGTCACATCCCATCTGGGGTTAAAGATCAGCCATAATGCTACACAAAAGCAATCCTTTCTATATGAAAAAGAGGCAACTTGACATGATAATTTCATTTATAACATTGAGGGGAAAAAAGCATTTCATTAGACATAATGTGTTTTTTGAGACACAAATACAAGAAATTTAGAATTTCGTTCAACCTGCATAAAAACCTGTTGATTATTATAATCAGTGATAATTATGTAATAATTATGATTAATTATTTAGCTGTTGGTTTTACTTTATGCTATTGCTTTTGTCACCACTATTATTTATTGTTTGTATTTTTACTGTTTTTTTATCAAGAATTATGAAATTTCTATCTAAAATTTTATATCATAGCAAACTTATTTCCATCAAAATACACTTGATATATATCATTATCAGATATGTCATATCCCCCACTCTTAATTATTAAATACGTGTTTTCAGTATTGACCAAAATAATTCTGATTATGATTTTTGCCATAATCGAGCAGCCTTAGTGTCTATTTGCCTCTTTAAAGGGTTAGTTCACCCAAAAATGAAAATTAGCCCATAAATTACTCACCCTCAAGTCATCCTAGGTGTAAATGACTTTCTTCTTTCAGATAAATCCAGTTGGAGTTATATTAAAAATTGTCTTTG